TACACATACACACATACATACCCACACGCATGCACACACTCACACACATGCACACACACATACACACACTCACACACATGCACACACACGCACACACATGCACACACATACACACACTCACACACATGCACACACATGCACACACACGCACACACACATGCATACACACATACATACACACATATACACACACACAGATGCACTCTCTCTCTCTCTCTCTCTCACACACACACACACACACACACACACGATACACACAAGGTACTGCTATACTCAGTGTTATCAAGGTTTTAGTTTCATCCGATAAGGTGGTTTGGCAAGTTATCTTGACAACTGTTGGAAATCTCTTTCAGGGAGGCAAATTCTGTGTGACCAGAGCCCTTACCCTCTCACAGCAGGAGATTTCCAGGGAAACCCCACATCCTCAGGGTCCATTCTTTCAGTGATCTGATAATCAGACTGAGAGACACGGGGTCTCTTTAGAATCTTTATGTTTGCCAGACCCCACTATACTGGGTAGGGAGAAGCGGGGAGAGGGATCAGATTTTCAGAGATGTTCCGCAGAAAAGCCATGTGACCCAGAAGCAGAGAGTGGGTGTGTCTTGGAAATATCTGTTTTGATGTTAGATCACTCAACTATAGAAGCAGAGGAACACAGAGCCCATGTTTAATAAGATTGATCAGTCCAATGACAGGCAAACTTCCCAAGATGCTTGAAGATGCTTGAGGAGAGAATCCCGGGAACGCTGGCCTCAGAAAGCACAAGTATATATATTATCATCAACCTGAATTCCCCTAAGCTGTAGGGACTTCCACTTGGGGGAGGGAGGGGGAAAAGCTGGCACTGAAATTCTTGGCTTTAAAGCTGAAAGGAGCTTAGGCTGGTTTGTATAATGAAGACAGTTACTGCAAGGGGAGAAAGCTGCTCAAGGAAGACTGAAAACCAGAGGTGAAGGAGGAAGACCGGAGAACACAGAACGCTTTAGAATTTACCTGAGGTTTTGGCACACACCACAAAGAGTTTTAACTTATTCTTTCTTTCAACACTCACAGGGACTGCTTTTTTAAGAGTTCTTTTTTAGGATTAATTGCCACTTTTATTGCCCCAAATCATTTTACATTTTATTTAAAGCCACCTGCCTGTTTGTGATTTTTTTTTTCTTGAAACTTTATTGTCTGGGACTTTGATAAGCACTCAGCGCCAGTTTGGAAGTAGTAAATGTTTGTTTCCATGTTTCCAAATACTTGCGAGTTAGGGATCATCACAAATAAGGCCCGCTAGAGTGCCTGGTGGCCTTTTATCTCCAAACATTTTCTCCTTTTGGAAATCATGTTCTTGTTCCCCATTCTCTCACTCTCTCTTACACACACACACACACACACACACACACACACACACACACACACTTCTCATATATGTGTATCTATCAATCTAGATATATGATATATAGATAGATATGGATTGATTTTCTCAGCTTTTGTCCTGAGACTGTCTTTTGTTCTCTTGCATCTTACTCAAATGTGAGGGGGCTCAAGACAGTGGGTGAACCGTTCCCTCATATGTGTCTTCCCAGGTGAACTAATAAAGTTCCTTCTGACCCAGGAATCAGCTGTGTTTGTTGGGATGTTCCCCCAGACACCTCCACACTTCTGTGTGGGAGGGAACAAGTACCTCACATTGTCAGTGCCTTTGGCAGGGTCACAGGAAAAGCAACAGAAAAACGCAGAATTATGCAGATAGAAGAATATCAGGAGACTGAAGTCAAAACCCACAGAAGTGATGTGGATGCCCTTCTGTATGCTGCAAATATGTGTTGCTCTTATTGGTTGATGAGTAAAGCTGCTTTGGCCTTTGGTAGGGCAGAACATAGATAGGCGGGAAAACCAAGCAGAGATACAGGAAGAAAGAAGGCGGAGTTGGGAGAGATGCCAGCAACTATAGCTCCTGGAGGGAAAAGACGCCAGAGCATCTATAAGTAAGCCACAGGCCATGTGGTGATTCATATTAATAGAAATGGGTTAATCTAAATGTAAGAGCTAGGTATTAATAAGCCTAAGCCATCAGCCAAACAACTATAATTAATATTAAGTCTCTGTATTTTATAAGCAGCTGCTAGACTGGGCTGGAAGCAGAAAAGCCTCTAGCAAAGGCCAAATGATAACAAATCAAATTTGTCAAAAGCAACGAAAACCAACACAAATAAAAACTAAAATGTCTTCAAAGTTCCAAAAGTGAACAGATACTGAAAACAAGCTGAACAGTCAGAGTCTAAAGTGACTTTACAGGTCCAAAAGCAAGCAAAAAATCACCCCAAATGTCTAGACCAAAGTACTTTAAGGCAAAAAGATCTGATGCCTTAAGCCAGTGGTTCCCAGTCAGTGGGTGGTGACCTTTAGGTCCCCTGTCAGATATTTACATTATGATTCATAACAGTAGCAAAATTACAGTTATGAAGTAGCAGCAAAATAATTTTTTAGTTTGGGGTCACCACAACTAGAGGAACTGTATTAAAGGGTTGCAGCCTTAGGAATGTTGAGAATCACTGCCTTAAACCAAATATTTAAAAAGTGAATTTAAAAGGTATTTAACAAATAGAATTCTTTCTTTTTAATAATTTACTTTTATTTTATGTGCTTTGGGGTCTTGCCTGCATGCACCTCTGTCTGTGTGAGGATGTCAGATCTTGGAGTTACAAATACTTGTGAGCTGTCATGGGGGTGCTGGGAATTGAACTTGGGTCCTCTGGAAGAGTAGTCAGTGCTCTTAACCACTGAGCCATCTCTCCAGGTCCCAAAATAGCATTCTTGTTAACTAGTTCAGAATAAACAAAATGGACCATGGACCAATCAAGTTAAGGGAGGCCCAGAGGCCTGGAAAAACTCCCAACAATCTGACTGAGGAATAGCAAGGCAGCCTAGACTCAGTGGGTTCATGCGGATGTTCGGCTTCCGTTCACTTGATTCCTCCAGAGAAAGGCGAATCATCCAGAGTCCAACATCGTGATGCCACAATTGTTGATAAAACTGCAACTTTCTTCTTAAAGGAGAAAAGAGATAAGAGAGAGTTTATTTTGGAGCCATTTTAAATGACCATGGTCCAGGAACACAGATGTTTCAGCAAGTGTTCTTAACTGTTGAGCCATTTCTCCAGTTTCAACATTTGTTTTGTTTTGTTTTGTTTTTTCAGACATGGCTTTTCTGTGTAGTCTTGTTTTGGAACTGGAACTCACGCTATAGACCAGGCTGGCCTCAAACTCACAAAGATCCACCTGCCTCTGCTTCCCAAGTAGTAGGATTAAAGGTGTGCACCACCACTGCCCGGCTTCAACTTCTATTTTTAAATCTATTATTTTATTTTGAGTATGCATATATGTATGTTAATGTACCACATGTACATGGTGCCACGGGGGGGGGGCAGTTTAAATAGACTGAGTGTGTGGTCAAGATTTTGCGGGCTGTCTTGACATTCCTCCAGGGAGGGGTCAAGGCTTGGAGGGCACCTGGATGGGGCCTCCAAAGATGGAGGCCAGAGACCGGGACTTGGGACTTACATTCACAAGCACCAATGACAGGACCCAATCTTGGGTCCTGCTTGCTCCTGGCTTTAAGGAAGTGTGGAACTGTCTCAGTTTGCCCCAGGGCAATGCTAACTCTAGACTCCCTGCTGTTCCCATTTCACCCTGGGGTCTGTTCCTTGCCTTTGCGGGAGACAGCATTAACAGCTGGATACAAACTTGTTCTGTGTTTACCCTCGGAATGACTAGTTCAGTTTATTAGCTTTAATTCAAAATCATTGCAGAGTGTGGAGTTCTAGTCTTATAAAAGCTGCTAACTTATTATAGACTGTTAGGAAATACAAGTTAGTCAATCATCATCTTTAAAGTACTGATATAATTAGTTACAAAAATAAGCCTGATTTAGTTCCCTGTATATGTTTTCAAAGTCAACTTAAAACAAATAATGAGAAACAAAGTTTGTCTAATCAGAAATGCCTAGGCAGCCCTCATACTTCAGAGATCTGCAGAATATGGAATTTAAAATAATGATTAAAAAGCTTATTATATTAGATAGAGACTCTGAGATCCTAGCAGGAACCCAAGGTCTCCAAAGAAGATTATGAGACACCATGATGTCTCCTCCTGGATTACGATGATGCAGACCACTGGACAATATGCCCTAGTGCAACACCGGCTCCCAGGACCTGGTCCAGACTGGATAAACAGCAGGACCTTGGAGAATTGATTTCATCAGTTTTGCCTAAACAAAATGAGGTCAGTCTTTTCCATGTCCCTCTTCCACAGAAAAAGAAAAAAATCACCTTATGGCCCTGGCTGAGACAGTAAGACTGCTGTTCTGGATATTTCCGCCTCCAATGCTATGGAGACCTGGGTATGACTAACTGTATATGAACTCTGGTCCCTGTCATTTTTAATAGATTCAGAAACTATTCGGTCTGCACTCAGATAGACTGTATTTATCCTCCTGAGATCTCTGATAGTATTGATGGCTAGGGCAGTTGTCATGTCAGTTTGCAGCAGAATGTATCCAGATCCTCCCACAAAGCTCATTAAAAAAATAAACGTTTTAAGGTCTGAGGATATAAAAGTTCATAAGCTTTGAGGGTCTAAAAAATGACTTAAGATATAAAAAAATGCTTCTAACCCCCCCCCCATGGAGTTCTAATAAGTTGATAGAGCAATGACTACTTACTGTATGGGTCACAAGCTCAAGATTTTAGATCTATTCTGGTTTTCATTTAAATATGAACTTAAAAGGGTTTCTCATTGGGCCAAAGACATCTCTGTCCAAACCATACATGGTTCTCTGGACAGCAGAAAAATATACATTATCTAACCAACATCTGTAGTTTTTGCTAGGACCCAAAGGTATGAGTCTATTCCTTCTGTTTACAGATACCCGTTATCTGTTCTTTTTCTACAACATGGGTTTTTCTTTAAATAATTTTTAACTTCTGTTTCTATTTAAACTTATCTCAATAGGCTTCCACTTGGATGGCAGATGCACCTAAGCATCAGTTGCTGACTACAACCTGCTCTGAATGGTGGCGAGCTCTGAACTTTCTGAAAGCTGATGTGGACCAGTCCAGCTGATAGGAACACTCCCTGTTCCTTCAGTGGAGTCTGAAGAGTGTCCCATTGCCTGAATTTCCTCCTTACCTTTGGCTATCCTTTCAACCCGTTTGGGCCCAGATAACAATGCTCCAATGTCAACTTGAAGTAGTTGCAGAAACACGTCATCCCATGCCCCCTGCCCAGAATAGATTGAAAGGCTGAGACAAGGGGGAACTTCCTGGCATGGGGGACAAGATAACTATCTATAGTTCCTATTGAGGTACTAGAAATAGGTCCAGAGTTGTCAATTAATGGATTTATTAATTTAAATAGTTCCATACCTCCTTAAAACCAGGAGCAAGCAGGACCCAAGATTGGGTCCTGTTATTGGTGCTTGTGAAGGGGGAAATGTAGGAGCCAGCCATGATAAGCTAAATATGAACAGACCACCCAAAGGAAGCTCTTTACTTCCAGCCATTATCACCTGCCAGAGTAGGACTCAGCTGTCAATTTAATTAAGAGGTCTGAGTCTCAGTAGTTTACCCTGAAGCAATACCTGGTTGCGCAGGAAGAACCACAAGCTGAGATTACCTGAGCACCACCCAAGAACAGACCATCCTAAGGAAATGCCTAACGTTCCAACCGTTGTAGATAGGATCACCTGCCAGCATACACTCACTAGGACACCCCTAGACAATGTCAGCCAATCAGGTGTCCTGAACCTCAGAAACCCTTCACCCCCAACTTTACTACTATAAAACCCTATTCTAGCTGAACTCAGGGCTCTCTGTTTATTCCAATACATTGGACATGCGACGAGACCGAGTTTGCAAACTTGTGTAAAATAAAGGCTCTTTGCTTTTACATATGGGACTCGGCCTCCTTGTTGGCTTTGGGGGGACTTCGTGGATTTGGGCATAACACTCTTTTTTTTTTAAATATTTATTTATTTATTTATTTTATTATGTATACAATGTTCTGTCTGTATGCCTGCAGGCCAGGAGAGGGCGCCAGACCTCATTACAGATGGTTGTGAGCCACCATATGGTTGCTGAGAATTGAACTCAGGACCTTTGGAAGAGCAGGCAATGCTCTTAACCACTGAGCCATCTCTCCAGCCCCGGGGCATAACACTCTTATTAAGTTATTCATCTAAGCCAACCAATAGAACATCCCTGTAGTCCTAAAAGTCATATAAACATAACAACTTATAAAAGTGATTAGATCCTATGTTTTCCTAGCTGTCTCAAAACTAATCTAAAAAGGAAATTCCTCTTGAAGTCATATAGCTGTTACATTAGGTCATTGGTCTAACTTGCTACTGTAATAGCTATCCTTTCTAGCAGGTTTGGACCCAGCTCTCACACGACACACGAAAGTGAGGGCATAGTGAGATCACTGCATTAGACCACTCCATGGGAAGAAAGGAAAGTTTATTGGGGATCAAATTGCCAAAGCCATCTCTGGGGTGTGAGTGGGGGCAAAGAGTAGAGAAAAAAAGTCAGAAAAGCAAGCAGATTCTATAGAACAGTCAATAGGGTCTTTGAGTTGATACAGTCTGCTTGGATTGATTTGGAACTAGATGCTCTTACTCAAGGTAGTTGAGTTTGCAGAAGTATTAAGGGAGATTCCTGGCAAGTAGAAACTCTACAGTTGACCTCTATTTACCCAGCAGCAATCCTTCTGTTGACCTGGTCAAAGCCCTCTGCTTAGGACATGGTCACCAGCACTGGCATTTGGATCTAACACTATGCATCCAACCCTACATTCTCTTAAATGCTGCAAATATCTAGCATATCAAGTATGTTCTTTTCTTAAACCTGCCAGTGCTATGTGTTTGGTTCTTTTAAATATTTCATTCTTAAATTTAAGTCTTCTGGATATCAAAGCATACCCACTAGGAAGTGACATATCTCAAAAACTTGGAGAGGCCTTCTCAGTAATGATTTTAGAGACACTTTGATTGACTTGCCCAGTTGGAGTAACTCCCAAAGCAGGAGACAGTGCCACGTCTCCACTCAGAGGTAGATGCCATTCTTTAGTGTAGCGTTTCCACTCAGAAGAGGCAACCTTAAAAAACATTTACAAGATGGCCTGAAATTAGAGAATAGATATAAACAATTTCTGCTATTCTTGCAGGCTATGCTTGTGTCTGTCAGGTGAAGGACATACTAGAGAAAGACTCATGCAAAAAATGTAGATATTTTTGAATTTGTGTGTGTGTTTGTTGATGTGGCCACAACCAAGTTGCATGTTTGTGGGCTGGGCTATGTGTGCTGAGTGCTAGATCACTGAGATGAGGTCACATGGTGTCTTAGCTACTTTTCTATTGCTGTGACCAAACACCATGACCAAGGCAGGAAAGGGTTAATTGGGCTCACAGTTTCAGAGGGGTTGAGTCCAGAGTAAAGCGTGGAATTGGGGACAGCTGAGAGCTCACATTTTGGTCTGAAAGTAGGAGGGGGGGAGAGAAAGACAGAGACAGAGTCAGAGAGAGACAGAGAGACTGGAAATGTCAGGAGTCGCCCACCTCTCAGTGACTTAACTCCTCCAATAAGGCCACACCTCTCAATCTCTCCCAAGTAGTTTCACTCACTGGGGACCAAATATTCAAGCAGTGTTTGTGTTTTGGACCCAGCTAGTCTACTACTGATCAAGATTTGTGTGAGTTCTCTGCCTCTGAGGAGAGAGAGAGAAATAGAGGGGGGAGGGATGGGGGAGGGAGGGAAGGAGAGAGGGAGGGAGGGAGGGAGAGAGAGAGAGAGAGAGAGAGAGAGAGAGAGAGAGAGAGAGAGATCTTCAGCTAAGAATCCCAGAATCTTATTTCTGGGTGTGATGCTTCTGCAGTGTTGGTTCTTTTGCCCCGGGGTGGAACCTGTGTCACTAACAGATCTCTCTCGTGCTCTTCCTAGAGGGACTCTTCTCTACCCATCAGGCAGATGACCTGAACATCAGGGAGTAACTTGTTTCTGTCTTGCGGTCCCTCATCTGAGCCTCTCTCATCACGATAGGGAGATCCCCAAGTGAAGCAAGACAGTGGCAGAGACTCAGGGTTTGAACATTTCCTGAAGATCAAGATGACTGACGCCATAGACTTCATAGATTCTGAATCCAAGTGATTTGCAAACACGCTTTCCCCCAAGGTGGCCAGCCTCTCTCAGGAGTTGTGGTTTTTGATCCCAATCGTTCATCATGATTCTTTCCAATAGCTACAGTGTGAGGGCCACTTCACCCATTAGACACTAAAGTTTGATATCTGTTTATCCATCAAGTGTGACAATGCCCCACTCTGGTGGTCTAGAGTAGAATATAAGGTATTTCTCAAAGGCTAGGATTCGGAGCACACTTGGTAGAGTGCTTGTCTAGTGCAGCATAAAATGTAGGGCATGTGCCCTGTGATCACAGACTGGGAGGTGCCAGCAGGATGGCCAGAAACTCAAGGCCATCCTTGATTGAGAGCCCTGATTCAGTGCACACCTTTAATCTCAGCACTTGAGGCAGAGGCAGGCAGATCTCTGTGAGTTCGAGGCCAGCCTGGTCTACAGAGGGAGTGCCAGAACAGGCTCCAGAGGTATAAAGAAACCCTTCTTTAAAAACCAGAGAGAGAGAGAGAGAGAGCCCTGATTCATGACTAAGCAGAAGAACAATTGAGAATAATTCCCATGTCATTTTTGGGCCTCTACAATGCACATGCACCACGTTTACATGCACTTACCCACACCCATGCATATGTGCATAGCTCACACATTAAATGGGGGGAAATTACATTTATCTGGCCCCTAATTTCCTCTTATGACTCTTTGCCATGTTGTTTTTTAGTTCATTGCCCCTCTGACCTTCATGCATGTGCCTGTGTGTAGCAGCACTCCCCCCCCCCCCCGTTCCTCCCCTTTTCATTCATTCCTTTTTTTTTTAAAAAAAAAAAAAAGAAATACATTTGTCTGGATGTTTTGCCTACATGTATGTCTGGGCACCACATGTGGGCCAGGTACCTGCAGAAGCCAGAAGGTCCTGTGGAACTAGAGTTACTGATGTTTGTGAGCTGCCATGTGGATGCTAGAAATGGAACTCTGACCTTTTGGAAGGAGAAGAGCCAGTGCTCTTAAGCACCAAGAAGTCTCTCCATCCCTTGGAACCAATTCTTGCTGATTTTGTATTTATGTGACTGTTTCTGGACAGCACTCAAATTTCAACTTAAATTCCTTCCACGAGATGAGTTGACGCAAAGTTGAAACACTGAGGTGTAAGAATATCGAACCAGATACTGACAGCCCTACATTCTGGCACCCCTCTGTGTGACCAATTCGCATGCATCCACATTCACAAAGCACAGAAGCTACAAAGTGCTGGAGTCCACCTAATCCTAACTCGTGTGTGGACTGGAGCTCCACTCCGTTGTTCCCGCAGTGCTGTTTAGCCTGACTGCCTCTGGCAGCAGGATCGCTGCTCTCGGCCCTGCAGCCACTTCTGTTACCTAACAGTCTTTCTCAAAAAGCTGGTCTCCCTTGTAAGGCCCCCCTTCTTCTTCCTTTCTTTTTTAAATAATACTTGTAGTTGAAAATATTCGTCCGCTTTGACCGTTCTTTGCCTTCACCATTTTATAGCTAACATATCAAACACCCAAGGGGTTCAAGCATAGTGAGGGGCAGTGCTACATCCTTCATTAGTTTTGTGGGGTTCCTACCTCTCTCTTCTGGGTCTTTTTTAAAAATATTTATTTATTTATTTATTATGTATACAATATTCTGTCTGTGTGTATGTCTGCAGGCCAGAAGAGGGCACCAGACCTCATTACAGATGGTTGTGAGCCACCATGTGGTTGCTGGGAATTGAACTCAGGACCTTTGGAAGAGCAGGCAATGCTCTTAACCACTGAGCCATCTCTCCAGCCCTATCTTCTGGGTCTTATGGATCATATTTAATGTTGTTTATTAGATCTTGGTAAGTTGCCCATCTCCCTACATCTTTTCTCAGTTGGAAAATCTCCAGTCACACTCCTGTATCCCTCATTTGCTCTCCTTAGCTCTGTATCTGTATCTGCATCTGTATCATCTGTATCTGTATCTGTATCTGTATCTGTATCTGTATCTGTATCTGTATCTGTATCTGTATCTGTATCTGTATCTGTATCATCTGTATCTGTATCTGTATCATCTGTATCTGTATCGGCTGTACCTGTATCTGTATCATCTGTATCTGTATCATTTGTATCTGTATGTATATCATCTGTATCTGTATCTGTATCGTCTGTATCTGTATCATCTGTATCTGTATCATCTGTATCATTTGTATCTGTATCTGTATAATCTGTATCTGTATCATCTGTATTTGTATCATTTGTATCTGTATCTATATCTTATGCCCAGTCCACTACCCCAGTGTCTCTCACTTTCCTCCATATATGAGCTATTCTAACAGTTTATTCTAAATGACTGCATTTGTAGGCAAACAAGACTGGTTATCTTTGAACTTGCTGCTGTCCCCCTCTTCCCCTGAGACCTGGCCCCTTGCTCGCTCACAGGGGCACAGCCACCTCTTGTTGACCTCAGCGATTGCTTAGTGTTTGCAATATAAACAGTTTCAGTTAAATAATTTCTTCTTCATTTTTGGCTTTTTGAGACCAAGTCTCACTCCATAGCGTCAGATGACCTGAAACCTGCTGTGAGCCCAGGCTAGCTCCCAGTTCCAGCAGTTCTCCAAGTGCTGAGCTTGACTGTGAGCTGCTTTACTCAGCTCACTGAATAATTCTTAAAATGTCCCCTGGCTCTGAAACCTCAAGAAACAAGGGTGGGGTGGGGGTCAAAGTACTGGCAGCCCGAAGAGAAAGTAAAAGGAGGGCAAATGTCAGATTGTGTTGGGAATCTAAACTGAGGACCTCACACTGGTACTTTGCTCCTGAGCTAATTATATGTTCAGCTTCAAAGATATCCCTTATAGCATATTTTTCATGGGAAATAGAACTGCATCATGGTGTATATTAATAAATCAGTTTTTATTTTAAATACCTTTACTTTGGAATAATTTCAAAATTTAAGCAAAAGTTTACAAAAGTGGGGTACAAGCTTCCCTAGACACTTCACCCACTTTTCCCATTGCTTGACTATCTGAGCTTTCAAAAACGAGTTCCTAACATAATTGCCCACTATTTCTTAAAACTTAAGTGACTATCTGCTAATGACAAGGACCTTTGCCTTCCTGGCCACAGTACAGCGAGCAAGACAGGGAAATGAGCAATCAATCTACTATTATAACAAGTGGATTTTAAGAGATACATATGACATCCTATTATAACAAGTGAATCTTGTTACTATTATAACAAGTGGATTTTAAGACATACATATGATATCCATATAATGCCTGTCTCTAAGTATTAGTTAAGAAGTGGACTTCAGAGAAAGTGCAGGCTTGACAAGCACACCTTAGGAGTTTGAGATAATCTCCTCAGCTCTTACTATACTTTAGGGGAAAGTCTGGGCATCATTGTTCTGCAGCCTCTACTTGACTATGAAAACCCAACTTTAAGTGTGTCAACCTAAAAATAGATACTGGGTTGGCAAAATGGCTTCAAGTGTCCTCTGACTTCCACATCTGTGCACACCTACCCCTACTCCCACAAACAGTTAATACATACATTAACTGTTTGCCATCTCCCCTACCTGAATGATAAAATGCTTGCATACAGGGATACATGCATGTCAGCAACGTGGGCATTAAATACTCTTTTGGATAAATATGCTCTTGTCTCAAATCAAGGAGTCTATTTGCAGGTTGATTTTTGCCAGGGCTATGTATTGTGGATTAGACACCTGAAAATGCTTGAGATCCATTTAAGATTACTAATGGGAATGTAAGCTTAAAAACATCACTGGACTAGTAAGAAAGAAAGAAAGAAAGAAAGAAAGAAAGAAAGAAAGAAAGAAAGAAAGAAAGAAAGAAAGAAAGGAAGTCCATACTTGCCTAAATTACCAGTATGATCTTGAGCACACTTCTTTTTATTCTTCTTTTTTTCTCTTTCTCCTTCTTCCTCTTTCTTTTTCCTCTTCCTTCTTCTTTTTCCTCTTCCTCTTCCTCCTTTTTTGTTTTGTTTTGTTTTTTTGAGGCAGGGTTCCTATGTGTATCCCTAGCTTTGTAGACCTGCCTCTGCTTCCCAAGTGCCAGGATTAAAGACATGTGCCACCCACCCAGCTTTGGGCATGTTTCCAAGACATCTCTCTGTACCTTGGTTTTCTGGCGTCAGCCTCTCACTTTCACGTGCATTTCTACACACACTCATGTGAACATGCTTGCACATCACCCTGCACACCCCTAAAATTTTTTTACAACACAACTTTTCTATGTAGCCTAGTGTGGCCTTGAATTCACGGTGATCCTACTAAAGACTGGAATTACAGGTATGCTCAACAGAATTTTGATTCCCCCCTGCACCCCAATTAAATGCATTCTTCCAGCTCTGATAATTTACCTTACTTGAAGGAATTAAAGTTCTTTTTGTCTGACCTTGAACCTTACTTTACCTGCTTTTGTCTGGGAACCTTTTGAAAATAAGATTCATTTTTTATTTTAAGTGTGTGAGTTTTTATGAGTGTCTTGTCTGCATGTATGTATGTATGTATATCATATATGTTCCTGCTAACTGAGGAGGTCGGAAGAAAGTGCCAGATGCACTGGAACTGGAGTTACAGATGGTTGTGAGCCACCATGCGGAGCTGAATCAGGCCCTCTGGGAGAGCAGTCAGTGCTCTAACCACTGGGCCATCTCTCCAGCTCCTATGGGAAAGTAGGAAGATGAGGAGTTTGGCTTTGCTTTGCTTGGCTCCTGTAAAAGGGAGCTGCGGGCTGCGTTCCTGCCACCTGGCTCCCAGCAGCCTGGCTAGCTTATGCCCTGAAATAATTACACAGAAACTGTATTCTTTTAAACACTGCTTGGCCCATTAGTTCTAGCCTCTTAATGGCTAATTCTCACATCTTGCCTAAGCCATATTTAGTAATCTGTGTAGCACCAGTTTTACCTGGAAAGATTCAGCATGTCTAACCTGGCGGCTTGCTTCATCGTGTCTGCCCTGAAAAGGAGAGGCATGGCGTCTGCTCACTTCCTCTTCCTCTAAGCATTCTGTTCTGTTTACTCCACCCACCTATGTTCTAACCTATCAGGCCAAGCAGTTTCTTTATTAACCAATGACTTTCCTCCATCAGGCTCCTCTGTTCTTCTGTCATGGAAGTCGAGCATGCTCACAGGCCTGACACTGGAGTGGAACGTTCCCTGCACGCTAGCCGCAGTTGTGAGCACTCTCTATGCTAATCACTTTGAACTCACGTGACACCCAGTGTCTTAGCATGTATGCTTCCTCCTCATGCCCTAGGTGAAGAGGGATTCCTATCATGACATCTTTTCTTTCCTCCTGTAAACGTGGACTTCCAGCAGACTGTCATTAGCATGGGGCTCCCTAATGCTTCTCTGTCTCCATGGATATTCAAAGCTCATTGAACTGAATAGCCTCATTGCTAGGAAAGCTGGCTCACCCTGGCTCCACTTTTAAGTTCATTTATTTACAGGATTCCACTTCTGTTCCTTAGATCCAGGTTTAAATAATCCTGAAAGCCGTGTGCAGTGACTGAGCAGTTCACCCCTGACATCCATTGTCACCCTCAGCAACAGAAATCTTGAGAGACTAATTTTTCAACTCCCCCCACCCCATTCTCTCTCTGTCTTTTGAAAAGTTCTACATTTTATTACTGGGCAGACCACTCCCCCAATTTAAAGATGACTAAGTCTCCAGATGAAAATGTTGAACTCCGTCCATGGCTCAATGCAAACCCCAAGCCTTGACTATGTGACTCCATAGGATCAGCCTTGTTCTCCTCCAGGGTTTCCTCTTGGAGCTGGACCTGGTTTTGTTACCAGATCTCATTCGAATCTGCTGAGGAATAGGATGATTTTGCTTTTGGTTCTTGGCCAGGAATCGCTTGCTTCTGGAAGTCTTGTGAGAAGACATGGCAAGAAGGAGAGTCTCCCCCACCCTTGCCCAATTCTTTAACTGTTAAGTTAATACATCAGGTTTCCACCAGCCTGGGCTCTGGCCTTAGCTATGATCAGCTGAGACCTCAGTTTTGGCTTTTGGGATGCCATTATTCCTGGCATTCTGAAATGTCCTCTGATCAAATGGGTTCCTGTCAAGCCCAACTGAGCTGCCAAAAAGGAGAATCAGGCCAGTCCTTGCGTTCACTGTAGCCAGTCTTTCTCTGTCCCACTAGACAGCTCTAAACCACGACACAGAGACTTCCTATTAATTATGGCTTAGGCTTGTTCCTAACCAGCTCTTATAACTTAAGTCAATCTATAGCTACTAGTCTATGCGCTGCCAGCTGGCCTGTGGTTGCCGTCTCTCCTGACTGTCTTGCTTGTTCCCTGTCTCTTGGGATTTCTGTTGAAATAAGAGCAGCGGGGCTGCGTCCCCAGCACCCCGGCCGCCTGGCTAGCTTATGCCCGAAATAACAACACACAAACTGTATTCTGTTAAACACTGCTTGGCCCGGCTAGTTCCAGCTTCTTATTGGCTAGCTCTTACATATTGTTCTAACCCATTTCTAATAATGTGTGTAAGAACCCCAAGGTGCGCTTACCGGGAAGATTCTAGCCTATGTCCATCTTGGGTTGGAGCTTCATCGCGTGTGCCTCAGAGAGCAGAGCTATCAGGAGAGCAGAGCATGGCGTCTCTGCTCTAGAGAGCAGAGCTGTCCGGTCCCTCTGGAAGCAGAGCAGAGTCTGACCTCACTTCCTCTTCCGCCCAGAATTCTATTCTGTTTACTCCTCCCATCTTTGTTCTAAGCTATGAGGCCAAGCAGTTGGTTTATTATAATTAACCAATTACCTTCCTCCATCTTCTTTTCCCCAGCATCCTCTCTGCTCTGAAAATTTTGCCTAGATATTGGCTCTTCAGCTTTTTATTAAACCAATCTGAGTAGCACATCCTCACAGTGTAGAAAATGGTTATTCCACAACAGTTTACTACCAACACAAGGCAGTTCCAAACAATGCTGCACATCTTCACTGTGTCTCTAGAGGAAAATTTTCCTATGAATTTATAAAATGTTGAAAGCACAGCCTGGCATGATGGTTCATACTGGTAATCTCAGAATTTGGGAGGCTGGGGTTAGACTTCCAGGGGTTCCAGGCCAGCCTGAACTACATACAGAGTGGGACCCTGTCTCAAACAAACAATAAATTAAAAATGTTAAAATTCTATCAGTCGCACAAGTATGCCTGTATGTTTATTATAAAAATTTAATAATTAATAGTTGCAAAAGCTTATACTGTTATTTATAAAATGATTACTAAATTTCTTCTACACAACTAAAAAACAGGAAGATTAGCTGACAGGCAAGATAAGCATTAGGAAGCTGAGCATGGTGGTGGAGGCCTTTAACCCCAGAACTCTAGAAGAGGCAGACAGATCTCTGTGAGTTTGAGGCTAGCCTGGTCTACAGAGTGAGTTCTAGAACAGATGAGGGTACACTGAGAAATCCTGTTTCGGAGGTTGGAGTGTGGGGTTGGGAGAAGATAAGTATTAGGAGAAGCTGCGTGAGCTAACGAATCTTAGAAGAACTATATGTTTTTATAATTTAGTAAATAATAAAAGTATTATCTAACAAATAATACAACCAAAAGAACATAAACTATATTCTACCTATGATTTAATTACATAATACTCATAGGAATTTATTGTTGTATTAACAATTGTCATGTAAATAAAGTCATTCTTAAAAACTGTCTCTTGGAAGGTTCTAGAAGGAACGAGGTATAACTTTATGATGCAGAGAAATGCACACAAATCTTAAGTTTACAGATTTCACACAGTAAACATCTCCAGATGACAGGAGAACTCCACCCCCTCAGAAAGCACCCATGTTCCCTCCTATTCTTCCCCAAGGCCTCTGTCAACACAAATATCTTGAAAACTGTTTTGTTTGTGTTTTGAGATAGGGTCTCACTTTATAGATAGTTTCATCTATAATCACTGTGTAGCCCAGGCTAGCCTAGTCCTCTCTGCTGCTTCTGAGCTCCTCCTGCCTTTGACCCTGAGTTCTGAGATTAAAGGGATGAGCTACTCACGCACTTGGTTTATTTTAAGAATGCCCCCTTTCCTTTTCCTGCCTAGACCTGCTCTTTCTCCTCCTTTTTTCTCCCCCACCCCACCAAGCCCACAGCGTCCTTCTGTGGAGCCAAGGGCTTTGCCATTGCACCGACTTTTTAACTTGTTGTTTATTTATTTATTTGAGACAAGGCTCTGTGTAGCCCCTCTATAGACCAGGCTGACCTCAAACTCAGACATCTTCCTGCCTCAGCCTCCCAAGTCCTGGGACTAAAGGAATGTGCCACACTGGCTTGCAGAACTTCTTACTTCTTACACTACTTAGGGAGCTGGTCTTTTCAGAAAACAAAAACAACTAGAGATTGGTTTCACTTGAGAAGCACTAAAAGTGTAATTTTAACCACTTCAAATTTTTGTGGGGAAGATGTTTCTCTCCAAACCACTAACAGCCATCAGAGCTCACCAGCAGTGAAGCTGAGATGGCTCAGCCCAATTGCCTGAGTTCGATCTTTGGGACACACTCCGTGGAATGGGAAAACCAACTGCCACCTGTCTTCTGACCTCCACGTGTGCGCATGGTAGGCCCACGCTACCACTTGCCCAAGAAAATTTTGTTTGTCTTTGTTTTTCGAGACAGGGTTTCTCTGTAGCTTTGGAGCCTGTCCTGGAACTAGCTCTTGTAGACCAGGCTGGCCTCAAACTCACAGACCTGGAACTCACACTATAGACCAGGCTGAACTCAAACTCAGACATCTTCCTGCCTCTGCCTCCCAAGTGCTGGGATTAAAGGTGTGCACCACCACTGCCCAGCCTGAGAAGTTTTAAAAAACATTTTACAAATTGAAAATACAAAGAGTTGTGAAAAACTTCAGATGCCTCTAAGTGTTTGCCTTCTTAAGCCTTTCAGTTAAAAATTATTTATTTAGAATAAGTATACAGTGGACTGAGAAATGTATATAACTCCGTGGTGAATGCTTTTCTAGTATACACCAGTCTCTAGGTTCAGTTCTCAGTAGCGGACATACACCCCCCCCCCCACACACACATACATAAATGCATAAACGTCGAGTATGGTGATTATTATGATTTTGAGTAAAAGTTGATATAGTTTTTGAGTATTCTGCCTGCCACAATGTGACAGCAGTGCCCTGTCTTTAGGAAGTGGTGATTTGGCTCAGTTGTTTGGTCTTTGGTGACAGTGTATGTTTGCTGTGTCTCTACTCTCCAGCCTCTTCAGGGCCAACTCTTTCGCTTACTGGCCGCACACCCTGTTTGAATCGGCAAGTTCCCGGTGGTAGCTCCCCTCCCTAATACTTTGTTCCTTCTTTTTTCCTTCTTCAGGCAGTAACTGGGGAATGAACCCAGGTTCTCACACAGTTAGTACTCTGCCACTAAGCGACGTCTGCAGGTCATCCTTCTCCAACCTTCTCCCCTATCCTCTCAAACCCTGCTCCACTCTGCAGGGCTGTGCCTGAAGGTTTTCCTCTAAGGTCCCCAGTGAGAGCCAGAGGAGCCGATCAAAGCCCCTGGCAAGCCTGGAGGGAGAGCTGTTGTCGCCAAAGGTGGGGGGGGGTTGCCAGTATCCGGTGCCTTCTGGTATCTGGGACTTATTAAATTATATTTTGTTTATTTATTTTTGTTTGTTTTTCTGGTTTTTTTAAAAAAATTTTTTTAGACAGGGTTTCTCTGTGTAATAGCCCTAGCTGTAGACCAGGGTGGCCTTGAACTCACAGAAGTCTGTCTGCCTCTTGAGTGCTGGGGTTACAGGTGTGTGTCACCACTGCCTGACCTTAAAATTTTATTTCTAAATCTTTGTACATACAGTGCTGTGTTTGTTTGTTTGATAGGTAGGATCATTCCTGTTTTTGCTTTAAAGAATAGCCCTGGAGAAAGGTCCAGGAGCAGCGTTCAAGGTCACTTGAGCCAGGAGCCGGATTATGAAATTCTGCCTGGCTCCAAAGCTCATCTGTCTCTAGTGCGGAGCACACTAGCAGAGGAGGAGAGGAAATCACTCAGCGAGGATGGTCTCACAGTTGGGCTTGTTTGGCATAAAGTGGGCAGAGGACACAAGTGCGCTTTGGGACTGAGAAAAAGGAGGCGGGAAGGTGTGATAAGGTCAGATACTTGCCCAGGACGTACCAGCTCTCCTCTCTAGAGGGAGAAATAACGCCTGCTGTCCAGGCGACAGAGAGATGATGACGACGTGCCCTATCTCAACCCCCTCAGACCCAGGCAGACTGCCAGTGCAGAGAGCCAGGGAGGGCAGAGGCAAGGGAGAGCGACTGCAAGGAAGGAAATTGTCAGCTTTGCCAGTCTGTTTTTGACAAGCAAGCTGTGGGCCACGGAAGTTTCTTAAGGTCAAGGGAAATGCGATATGGAGAATGTAACGGAACTGGGACACTCCCCTTACCCCAGCCATCAGGCCAAGTGGATCCGGCAGATCCAGCTTGGAGTCTAGGTTGGTAGCACAGTGGGGTAGGGAGAGAGAATGAATGTGCCAGCTAACCTCATAAACAGTCTCTTGGCTACGTTGGTGCAGTGGCCAGCACAGGGAACCCAGCTCTACATAACTCCCAGAATCCATTTCTTCATGCGTGAACTTTTACCTACTCCTCTTGTCTCTGCAATGTTTTCTTTTTTTTTCATCCAACTGGTACGGCAGCACAATTAAGGACACCTCTTTAATTGTCAAGGTTCTGTCCCACAGTAGCCAATCAGACATGCTTCTTTTAAATTCTGTTTTTTGAAAGTTTTTTCCCCGACTGTGAGGGAGGAGAGTCCATCTTTAGCAGATATTAGATGATTTCTCTGGATGGCTCACAAAAGGTGCAAAGCGCTGGAGAAATACGGTGCGGAATTTCTTTGTCTTTTTTCCTTCTAGATTTCTGTCCCCACAGAAGTCACCTCAGCAGATCAGAATTGGAAAAATTCCACCACAGGATTGGAAGCAGCACTGCCTATGAATTGCAAATGCTCCTCCATTTGTTTCTTCCATTTGTCATATTTCCATAAGATAAGGCAGAGGGGAGATGGCCAAAGGCACAGACCAGGAAGCCCATCCCCCCTGAACTTGCTCATCCCTTCTGCGAGCCAAATCCTTGGCTCTCTGCTCTGGCAGTCTGCCTGGGCCTGAGGACTTGAGGTAGGGCATGTCATCTCCTGGTCACCTGAACGACAGGCGTTATTTCTCCCACTAGAGAGTAGAGCTGGAATCCTGGGAAATTATCTGAACATGAACAAAAATACGAAGACACATTCCTTGGAACTTGGCCCCCCAAAGTGTCAACCCCAGCTCCTCTCTGAAGAGCTTGAGACAGGAAGGGCCCAAGAAATGGGGGAGAAAAAGGCCCTGGTGGAGAAGGAGGCACAGTAATATCCAGGGGTGGGTTCAGGACTTGGCCAAAAAGTAAGAAGTCTGGAAAACTAAAAAAAAAAAAAAAACAACTTGGTCCAAGTGCATAGGAACCAGTGGGGATTCCCAGAGCATCTTTTTGAGGAGAGTTGCAGGCTGTTGTGTAAGATGCATTAGGATGCTCACTGTAGGGTGAAAACATGCCTGAGGAGAGGTCAGGGACATATGCTCTCCACTTTGGTGGGAGTTCTTGTGGCCATTCTTGCAGGCTACGGTCAGGGTCTGGCAGGTGGAGGTCACACTTGGAAAGGATGGATGCAGGAAGATGTTGAGGTTTTTGTTGTCTTTTGCATACTTGTTGGTGTGATCCTTTGCTGAATTGCATGCTGGGCTCCACGTTCTGCATGTTGAATTCTGAGACGAGGTCACATGATTAGGCTTGGTACTGACTGGGACTTCAGCTACCCACAGTGTCTGGAGCAGAATCTTATTCTGGTTGGTAGCTTCTCTCTTAGGGAAAAACACACACAATAACATTACCAACAACAAAAACTAAAATAACAGGAACTAGCAATCACTGGTCATTAATATCCCTTAATATAAATGGACCCAACTCACCTATAAAAGGCACAGGCTAACAGCCTAGATATGAAAACAGAATCCATCCTTCTGCTGCATACAAGAAACACACCTCAACCTCAAAGACAGACATAGCCTCAGAGTAAAGGTTTAGGAAAAAGTTTCTTTTTTCAAATGGACCTAAGAAACAAGCTGGTGTAGTTATCCTAATATCTAACAAAATAGACTTCAAACTAAAATCAATCCAAAGAGACAAAGAAGAACATTTTATATTAGTCATAGGAAAAATCCATAAAGAGGAAATCTCAATACTGAACGTTTATGCCCCAAATACAAGGGCACCCTCATATGTAAAAGAAACACTTCTAAAGCTTAAATCATATATAT